TATCAAGTTTTTGTAAGGAACATTTTGTATATGTGAAGGGTTTTATAGCTTCGGTGCAACCGAAGTTTACGTTTTATCTTGTTTTAGTAATATTTTTCACTGAGTGAAATAAAATAAGTATCAATGCCTTCAGTAAATAAATTAAGTAATATTAAATTTTTTATCAATAAAATATTTTAAGACCACTAATTCTTACAAAATAAGCCTTTTAACTCACTTGAAAATAATTTTTTGTGTGATGAACTAAAATCAGAAATAGCGTTATATCTGTTCTAAATGTATCTTACTGATGCTGATAGACTGTGTTGTTCAAAACTTTTGTTATTTCTTATATTTAGTAAACATATACATAGTACTATAAATTATTTCCTTAAAGAACAAGCTAAATCTTGTCTGCACACGAGAGCACTCGTAAAAAATAAAAGTGAAAAATTAGAAAAGCAAAAAAGATGAGATAAATATGTGTCTATATGTAATATAAGCGTATAATACAATAGCTATGACGACAAACGACGACGTTGTGCTTGAAAGCAGCGTATGTTTGAAATACCGTTAGTCACGTATGTTGATGCAGTTGGTAGATAGCACAATTGCACATATATATGGAGCTAACTGGTATTACGTTCGAAAGGTCTATTTTAATCGTCTTTAGTGAACTCCTAAAAGGAAAAACTTATTGAAAATCATTCTTTGGAAAATTGAATATGATAAAAATATCACTCATACGTCACGGTTCACCACTTGAAATAGTATTGGGACGGCGATGCGTATGCGCAACTTTTTTAATATTGTACATACTCGCTGGCAGTAAATATATATCACTCATACGTCAGGTGTGTCCTACACATTTCGTTTCGAGACAGTTTGATTTCTAGGGATAAAAATCAATATGATCGCTAGGTGGGTAGAAACGGCAGAGAGAGCTGCGGAGGGTTAGCATGATGGGAAACTGTAAATGTAGCTGTGCTGTGGCCTTGCGCAGCCCTTACGAAAATGTTGGCGCGCTTTGGCATTCAATGTTTAACAAGTCTCGGAGCTGTTAAAAGGGTGTAGATGGCGAGAGTGGGGGATAGTAACCAAAATATTAATATATAATTTTTGAAAGTGTTATATATAATATTAATATGTTTATATATATTGCAATATATTGCACATCATATTTTCTGTGATATGTATGTGTGTATGTGTGCTTGCGCTTGTATGCGCTGTTATTTATATATACTATGCGTTGGTAAATTGCCAAGTGTGACGTCATATGTAAAGGAGTTTTTGTTGTATTGAAAATTTTATAATTTAAAGGCATTTAAGATGTGAAGGAGCGATTGAAAATGTTTTGTTAGAAAAAATAAAATAAATAATTGCATATAAAATGAATAATTTAAATAAAAAAAAAATTTAAATGCTAATATAACTCCCACAGGTATATTTTTGTAAGAAAAATATTTTAAATATGAAAATTTAAAATATAAATATAAAAAGTGCTGGAGCTCGAGAATAAGGAGAAAAATTATTCTTATTGTGTACTTTTTTTAGATTTTCTTCTTCAACAAGTTTATTTGTTAATAGCAACAAATGTCCAAATGGATTAGGTATGGATTGACGTGTTGATCCTTTTAATAAGAACACATTTTTTTACTTCACTAAAATAATATTTTTAAAGTATATATTTTGACAAAATGTTTATAAAAATTATTTTATGTATATTGTTTTAATTTTTTACAAAACCAAGTTGAAAAATATTTTTTTTTAGGAAATACGAAAATATTTAAAAAAAAATTTTTAACAAAGTTATTACAATTAAGTTTTCGTATATAAAAAACAAAATAATTATTTATATTGAGTTTTTAAAACCCATTTTTTTTCGAATGCAAAGAAATTATAAACAATATAAATAAATCTATTTGGATTTGCTAAAATTGAAGAAAATTAAAAGCAAAGCTTTAAAAAATGTAGATATAAATTCTAAAATTGAGTTTTTAAGATGTAAGGTACCATAACATTTTTATATGTACATGTTAATCTTAGGCTCATACTTACAATTAAAGATTATAACTATAAAATAAAGTGAAATAAATAGAATGAAATACAATGTTTTTGTTAAAATACCTTAATTCCATTGAAGATACTTCCATTTACATAGTCAGCACGGACGAAATAATATTTTTTCGTTGATTTGTAAGGCCTAAAACCTCCAAAGGATTTGCTTAGGTAAGTGCCTTTAATTTTTTTTATTTTAACATTTTATTATAAATCAATCTTGTTAATTTTTACACACTTAAAATCTATATGCATATGCATGTATGATGTGCACATGAACTTTGATTTATTAGTAGCATGTCATTAAAAATATTATATGTATAAATAATTAAAACTCCTGGAGAATATGCTAAAGTTAAATTAAAAAAAAAATTTTTTAATTTTTTCACTTCAACACGCACTTTACAAATGTTTCAGCTCTTTAGATGTTGCACGTGCACAGCAACTTGAAGAATCCTGCGTGGGTGTGTAAACATAAACAAATCGTCCACACTTCGTACGAGGCTTGTGCTGTTTGCGAAAATTAAAGCGTGTTTTTAAATTTTGATGCAAGGCACCTAAATTTTACAAAACTAAAACACACAAGTTGTTGATTTTTCCGTTTTGATTTAAACTTTCACTTCAACTCTTTACCGTTATACAAAATACATACATACACCACTGACAATGGCTTCAAAGACCGTAAGCGATAGTGTTACGAGGAGCAAATTTCGACTGTTTGGCTTGAGGACGACTATTCAACTGAATTCAGAAATGTGCTGCAATACAAACTTCACTTCTACCATAACCAGCCAAAAGCAGAAAAAACGCTAGTAACACCAAGCGAAATCTGTATGGGAAATAAACGGCTGACGAACGCGTCAACGCTGCTGTACATATGCATGCGTGAGTGTGTGTGTGGCATGAATGGGGAGCAAGCAAGGCTCTCAACGAGCTGGCGTCGCTGCTGCTGCCATTAATGGTCCTGCGCAGCTGCTGCGTCGCTATGTGCTGTTGCTAGTTGGTGATGGACGCTAGCAGCCAGCATATAGATATATTTTTATTATAAATCCACACATATGTATGAGTGTATATGTGGCACAGCTACACATGTTGATTTCCTCAATGAATTCGCTATTGCTGTACATGTGGAAGGTCCTCCAAATGGCAGCTGCGTGCGCTGCATACAAATTCTCATTGATGTGTTAGTCTGCGCTGTAGAAGCATATTCTCACACGCATACAGTATAGTATATGCAGCCTCATGTGTCTTGCAATGTTGCTGTCACTGCTGCCATTGTCTTCAATGCTGCTGCGCCGCTCTGCCAGTATATGTATCGTGTGAATGAATGCCAATGGTGACGTCACAACTTGTGTGCTTTCCCTTTGCTTGGTATTTGAATAAAAGCTCGTTCTCAAGAGTATTTGCATTGAATTCGGAATTTCGGAGTGCAAGCAAGCCGAGCTATTCTCGTTTAAGGTTTTCTAGGTCAATGTGTTAATAGCAACCGTTAAATGCGGCTGTATGAGTGTGAGAGTTAAATTCAATTTCTTTCGCTTAAGTCGTCATCAACTGACTTTAAAGCGCCGAAACATAAATATATACAATGTAAAGCAAGCGTGTGAACGTTTATGCTAATGTGACCTTGTCACTTATAATATTTGGAAAACAACAAATTGCATACAAAATATTGAAATTTTAATTTGAAAAAATTGTTTTGAGAGCAGTTTGAAATGTAGATTCACTGAAAAATTAAAATTCAACAAGTGGTTCACAAAAATCGATCACATATTAATTAATATATTATATAAATAAATAACTATATACAAATATGGTGAAACAAAATCAAGAAAACAAGTTAAAGTTAACAGCACCGAAACTATAATACCCTTCACAAATCAAAAGGTTTCCATACAAGAACTTCATTTTGATCGGTCAGTTTGTATAACAGTTATATGATATATAACTTTGGTAAAATTTCGTGAAGATATTACGTCAAATAAAAAAGTTTTCTATACTGTTGAGGGTATAAAAATAATATGTGGAATCCTTTTGCATTTATCAAACATTCTGAACTGCTGAAAGATTGCGAAGTAAATTTTTGTCTTCTTGATTTGGCCTTACCAAAATAGTGCACTTCCTATTTAATCATAAGCGTAAAATATAAACAGTTGAGAATCAGTAAAGTAAATGTTCAAGCCGTCAAAAAGTTCTCAAGATGATATTTAAGATTACTCTTTATTTCGAAATTGGGGATTCCCATTTGAAAAGTATAGGTTTCTAAAGTTAATACATATAATTTTTGTCAAACTGAAAATGATGAAGGATGCATATTTTAAATGTTTTAGGTATAATAAGAACAATATCAAACCATGTTTATTAATTTTTATATTAACCCAATGGAAAAATATGCTCAGTCTAAATTCCTAAGCGCTAGCGTATACGAATATATATTACGTATATCTAGAATATGAAATTTAATCATAAATACGGTATTAGCAATAACTCAACTATAACTTTCTCCAAATTGTAAAAAATACTTTGAAAATTTTGTATCGATGTTTAAACAAATGGATAAATGCTTGGCCAAGCTTTTCAATTTATTTTCGCTACCTGCTATTATGTCATTCTAGAAATAGATAGTCGGGCAAATTTTAAGTTCTATCGATTTATTGAATAATAGCCGGTTCGGTGTTTTGATAATTTCTGCCGAGCGGTAGGAATTATAAACAATTGAATCGAACCCAAGTCTTGCGGATTGGTTTTATAGTGCTCACCTCTAACTACAAAACTACGGCAAGCGCCGCTTAAGTTGAACTTGGAATAAAGCATAACAGCTTCCAAGCCTTCTTTATATTGACATTAATGTTTACGTCACGCTTGCGATTAGTGTAATTGTCTTTCCTTTTGGTCATGTACATAAAAAATCAACAACAATAATACACACGCATCATAAGTGAAATAATTTCGTCTCCTCCTTTCAGCTTCCGCTTCTGAGCAATTGCTTTCTTCAAACGGTAAAATTGTTGACCGCACAGGACCGAACTAAGAATTTAGCCAGAGAGAAGAAGCCTCTTCCTGACCATCAATTCTGGTTTGGCCAACGTTTGCGTCGGCGCACCGCTATTCGACCACGACAATTTTTGCTTGACGCCTTCAGACATGGATCGATTTTGTTGTTCATGGAAACTCGGTTATTGAAGTTTTTATTGCGTTAATTCGTGTGGCACCCATACATCAAAATAATTTTTGTATCCAGCTTTATTTAAATGGTTCCAAACGGTCTTTTGTAATATGTTTAGCTTGTGGGCCATCGAAACCGTGCTAACTTGACGGTCGGACTCGACGATTTCTATTATTTTATTATTACTTATATTTTCTAGAATTGGACCGCAAATACTATTCACATTTTCAGCCGATTTCCTTATGTTTTTGAATTAATTGGAGAAAAATTAAAATGTGCCATATTTTCCCTTTGCTCGTGCCCATCTTTTATGCCTGCTCAAACAATACTAAGTCAAGCAATCACACAACATCTGAGAAGAGTTTTTAATATGAAATCTTTCTGACGACATATGGCGTTATCCAATCGCACTTAAGCGACGCGAGGTCCACCTTTTAAGATCCAAATGTATTTTTTGCTATTTCATAAAATATTATAATGTATATAAAGAAAGTAATCCCTCGAAGTTGACTTGGTATATATAGTATATGAAGTGGTACTTATATATTATCTTTTTTAGGAAGCTTTTGCTGAGTACCGTGTCTGATTAGTCGAGTACCATTAGAGAATTTTTAAAATATATTTTTGAACATACGATAATCTTTTTGTATATAACTTATAAGAGATTTAGTAACTATCGGAGCTTTCGTGGACTGCTTCGCATTTCCAATGTTGAATAAACATAGAAATTTTTTTTGGATGTAGATTTGGTTTGTTTGATTTCGGTTTCCATGTCATTTAAGAGAAGTCTTTAATATAATACACATATTGAAATTACTTTTCAAAATATAAGATAGGATAGGATATAAACTTCCTCTGTTTAAAAAAGTGTATACGTATATATAGAGATTCAGAAGATATTCACATACCTATATATGTTTATATCCACTGAGTGCGAATGTACGTCATAAATTTGGTGCTAGTTCAACAACCTCGACTAGGTTGACGAACTTTTGACCCAACTTAAAGCATGCAAAAGCTCTTTCGACAACAATTTTTTGCCATCCATCCACGATTCGTAGCACGACTGCCATGCTTTGACGAAAGTTTTCGTTCCGTAAACGCTCTGTTGAATATGAGATATTCGGCATATATATTGTATAATATAGATATATATATCCTTATACATATGCGTATACCTATGAATACATGGATGTTTGTGTGTATGCCTTGAATAATTTCGCGCTTGACGCACCACGGTAGCCGTTTTCCGAAGTTTACACTTGCTGCCAGCTGTTGTTAGCAGCAGTGCTGCTGGCGTCATTTGGCGGCGTCATCACTGCTAATTCAAAGAGTCCTACATTTATTTAGCTATTGCTGTTGTTGCAGCGAGCCGAAGTGCAAAGCGACGAACGCCGAACGTTAAACTCCGAATGTGTGTCTCTGTGTCGCAGCACTTCGGCTTCGTGTTCGTGAGCAGTTGTGTTGACCTTCGATTCTATTTTTAGATTGCACTAAATATAACCCGGGGTCAGTACATGGGTACAGAAAAGGCAGCCACCCAAAAAATCCGCCCAATCGCCTGCAAACCAACACCCAACAATTTTGGGAGAATTTGCTTTTCAGCTGTTGGATAGTTGATGATTTTTCCTTGCCATATTTGTTGGCGAATAGGATGGTTGGGGTTTAATGTTGTTTGTTTTCATATATTTACATTATTTTTGTGTGTCGTGACAAAAGTTTTGCACTTTAATTTTATTCAAATAGTTTTATTGATTATAATTTGATTTGAAATTCAAGTATTAATTTCTTAATTAAGAAAAATATAATCACTTAATTTATGAGAACATACTCATCTAGTACCCTGAAGATTGTTGAAAAGCTCTGATTAATTACTATTGTTTACCGCATTGTTGTAAGAGATTTTCACATGATCTCCTTTGATGTGGAAAAACACGGTTCAATGGCGTGAGTTGGAATATAATAGAGTGTTATTTGTAACGTTCTTGCTTTAAACTTTATCCTCTATCCGTCTGCAGAGGGGCGCTCAGAAACTTTACACATCATTCATGATTTTGAATATAAATCTGCCTCTAAAATTGTTACTTAAATGTTTGATATAGTTAATGTAATTTTATCATATTCCCTATTATAACGTGACAAAAATACGTACTTTTGTGACCACATTCTTTTCTGCTTATAATAATAATAATAGTAATAAAAAACCCGCGTTAGTCTGTAAATCTATCGGCTCCATTTAATAATAAGTATTAAATATCCACAAGAAGAGAGTTCCCGTAGTCAGCGGGATCAGCCTTCTTAACATTGCATATAAGATTTTGTTGGTAGTATATTATGTGAAAGACTCCATCACCCTTCTGCCGATTTCAAAGCCGCTTTCGACAGCACTGACAGAATCTGCCTATTCGACGTCATTTCTAAAAAGCAACGAAAGAGGTTGGTCTTGTTTTGAATGAGGGCAAGACGGAGGCCACACACAAAGATTCCTCCATCTTGGCAATACGTCACTGTTGGCAGCTATAAATTTGAAAAAGTGAATGCCTTTGTATATCTTGGAACCAGCATTCTAAGCCTGCAAGCCTGCAGATCAATCGCAAAATAACTCTTCCCAACAGTTAGGGATCGGTAGGCAATTGTGAAGCAGATGCCGCTCTCGACGAAGAAAAACAAAGAATTTATTTCATAAAATTATTTTATTATGCTACCAACCTATCTATTTATATATACCTTGATCGTCCAATGTTAAACTAGGGTAATTTGAAAAAGTATGATCCTACCAATTATATCGAGATTTTCAAATTAATTATCAGGTTTATTTGTTTTCCTTTGCCCATAACTCCTCAGTCCTTGAATTATAATTTAAAAGTGCTTTAAATTCAAATCAGAGTTCTATTTCCGTAGAACAACATTAGAATTGAGTGAATAAATGCCGAGGGTCATTTCGGTGCAAAAACAAACACCAAAATGTATACCGAACTTGGAATCACTGAGTGCACCTGCACTTGAGAAATTCGAAAGCGGCCTTTGGAATATAAGCACGGCGAGCGCACAAATGCCGCACGCCGAAGTTGTTTACGGAGCAACAGAGCAGCTGTATGACGCTGATGCGGACCGACGACAGCAAAGCTGCAACATAATGGTATACCTACGTGCATTATATCTATGAATGTGTGAGGATGTGTGTGTAATTGTATATAGGTTTGCATATAGGTACATATAGAGCAACATATACATATATGTATTAATCTACTGTTATATACCAAATATATACAGTATATAATGCGTTTTGTATGTGTATGTGTAAGCAAATGCATGGATGGCTCCGCTTCTACTTTTGCGTAGTTGATGGCATTGAGCCACTTGCGCCACTTAAGTTTTAACTAAACTTTCAACGGCTGTTGCTGTGTGCGACCGTTGCAGCATCGCTGTTGCTGTTACCGATTGCTTTGCTATTGCTGTTGTTGTTGCTATTGCAATTGTTGCCGCTGATGACGTTAACAACGTTGTTTTTGTTGATTGTCGTTTCATACCATGTTGGTTTGCTTGTTGATAGAACACCAAGTTGCCGCCTTTGCAGACTGACACTGATTGCCCCGCTGTTCGCTGTCGTTGCTCTGATCTGTGTGATTTTCTCAATGGCGGTTTGTAGCGGCTGCTTTTGGCTGCAAAGCGTTCAACGTTTTCATTCAAGAAAATTTCGCACTTCTATATGTAAGTGCGGCGCGTTGGTTAATACGGTACAGGGGAGGGTGAGCGGGAGCGATGGTAGCGGCAGTGATGGCGACGGCATTGGTGACAGCAGTGGCCATGTGGCTGCTGACATTTTGCCACATGGCATCATTGGCTGCCATTTGGCGCAAGATTTTTTTCAGCTATTTTAGTTTCGCATCGATTCGCCATCAGCGTGCAAATTGAGGTCAATCTATTTTTACGTTGCTTATGTTAATATTTGTTGTTGTTATTTTAGTTGTTGTCGTTGCAAATGCATGCTGACGTTGATGATTTACTTTATGCTCTACCACCATTACTCTCCCCGCGTCCCTAACTTTATGGCATTACAGTAACACTTCGTCTTTTCCCCTCAAAACTTTGCACCCCACTTGCGCTCCTCTTCGGGCGGCACTTCTGCCGCAGCCTTTAACGTTATGCGTATATACATGTGTAGATATGCATATCCGTGTTGCTGTTGGCAAACGTTGCAAGCATAAAACGCTGTCACCTGCATTCCTGTCTATGTTACCGGACGTGACTGCTGTTGCCGCTGCTGTTTTTGTTAACATTTTCTGTTTTGTTTTCTGTTATGTTGATGTTCGTTTCCACTGTTCTGTTAGTAATGCTGTTAGCGATATTTTGAGCCATACTATTTATATACATGCTCTTTTAGTTGTTGTGGACTTTAAAGCCGCCGACGTTTTCGCTGCCGCTGCTCTTGTCTGTATACTGCTTTTAATTCATAGTTTTTGTTATTTTCCTTATGCTGTACATAATATGTATGTATCTATGTTTGTATGTATATAGAGTTAATATTCGATGACGCAGGAACGGCACGGTTTCTACACCAAATAATTTCATTCTTACATATAGCTACCATTACTGTATATATTCTTGTGGTTTTTATTGTTGTTAATTTTTCACAATTGTGACGTCAAAGATTCTGCAACACTGAATTTGTCCTTTGTTTAAAGTGGTGAGATATGTATATAAAAAAATTCTTGAACTTTAAAGCCACCAAAAATTCGATGAAAGCCCCTTAGATATATATTTTTTAGCATTTTTAAAAATCATGCAACCTATACTACTAATATAATACATAACGTTTAAGTAACTAAATACAAAAAAAAAAAAATTTTTTTTTCCCAACCTAAATTGGTGTTATATTATTAGAACAATTTTCTCCGTAATTTTAATGAAAATGAATTATATATAAATATAAATTTCGTTAAATTTTTTTTAGAGATTTTCGAATGTTTGTTATTATTTTAAAGCTAGGATAATTATAAATCTCCCAATACTTGCACAATATTCGAACAGAAGCCTTTTAAAATGGGACAAAGTGAAAGAAAATAGTAATATAATAAAGTGAAACCTATGGGAAAAGAAAGATAAAATAACAAAACAACCAGCTGCTACTACGAAATGGCAGGAAAATACAAAAGGAGTTTTAAATCGTTTAGTGGGGTGTTTTTTTAAAGTTTTTTTTTTTTAAAAATCAGAAAGTAGAGATTTAAGTGAAAAAATGCCTACAGACTTTTTCAAAGAATCTAATATTTTGACTTGAGAACTTTCGATTGAAAATTAGAGTTTTTTCCAATAAGTGAAGAAATAAATATATGAAATTTAGAAAATACAGGTTACTTAAAATATAAAAAGGTTAGATTCCACACAATTTCTCTAATTTTTTTTTGGAAAAGATTAAAATACAAAACTTAAACCTTGGTTATTTTCATTTTGTTATGTTTTGTGTAGTTATGTGAAATAGATGTTGATACAAGAGTTGTGAATCTTTTTATTACCTATACCTTTGCCATACAACTTTTTTCAAAGGAACTCGTATTTTTTTGCTAAATTATGTTTTCTTTTATTTTTGTTAATTTATAATTTGTTTTCTCGTTTAAAAAATTAATTGGTCGGAATTTAAATCTCTGTTTAAACTTTTCTTTACCTCCATACATCAATCCGCCTTACCTTAAAAATTATTATTAATTTGTCCTTAACAAACCGCATATTTTAGTTATTTTCGCAA